AAAATATTCATAAAAAACGGAACAAGATTTTTGTTTTTTTTTTTGCAGAGGAAAAAATAAAAAATAATATTTTACAGTGGCTCCCAGGGCTTCTAATAAAAGAAGAGCTGAATGTCTTCTTCTTTCACAGAAGAGCTCAAGGAGGTCTTCTTTCGTAGAAGTGCTGATGGTCTTCTTCATAGAAGAGCTCAAGGTCTTCTTCCATAGAAGAGCTCAAGGTCTTCTTCCATAGAAGAGCTCAAGGCCTTATTCCACAGAAGAGCTCAAGGTCTTCTTCTTCTTCATAGAAGAGCTCAAGGTCTTCTTCATAGAAGAGCTCAAGGTATTCTTCTTCATAGAAGAGCTCAAGGTTTTCTTCTTCATAGAAGAGCTCAAGGTATTCTTCTTCATAGAAGAGCTCAAGGTCTTCTTCTTCATAGAAGAGCTCAAGTTCTTCTTCTTCATAGAAGAGCTCAAGGTCTTCTTCTTCATAGAAGAGCTCAAGGTATTCTTCTTCATAGAAGAGCTCAAGGTCTTCTTCTTCATAGAAGAGCTCAAGGTCTTCTTCTACATAGAAGAGCTCAAGGTCTTCTTCTTCATAGAAGAGCTCAAGGTCTTCTTCTTCATAGAAGAGCTCAAGGTCTTCTTCATACAAGAGCTCAAGGTCTTCTTCTTCATACAAGAGCTCAAGGTCTTTTTCTTCATAGAAGAGCTCAAGGTCTTCTTCTTCATAGAAGAGCTCAAGGTCTTCTTCTTCATAGAAGAGCTCAATGTCTTCTTCATAGAAGAGCTCAAGGTCTTCTTCATAGAAGAACTCAAGGTCTTCTTCATAGAAGAGCTCAAGGTCTTCTTCCATGAAAATAACTTGAGTTCTTCTTCATAGAAGAGCTTGAGGTCTTCTTCCATAGAAGAACTTCGGGCCTACTCCCATAGAAGATCTTCAGATCTTCTTCATAGAACAACTGGAGGTCTTCATAGAAGAGCTTGAGATTCTCTGAAGAAGAATTTCTGAAGGCCTTCTTCATAGAAGTGCTCAATGACACCTTTTCCATTACATATCTGAAGTTCGTATTCTTTTTAGTAGATGACCTTCAGGTCTTCTTCCTATTTGAGGAACTGAAAGTCTTCTTCATAATAGAGCTGAAGGGTTTCTTCTTCATAGAAGGACTGGAGTTCTTCTTCTTCATAGAAGAACTTGAGGTCTTCATCTTCGTCATATAAGACCTGATGGTCGTTTTGGTTTTCGTAGAAGAGCGGTGGATCTTCTCCGTCCATAGAAGAGCTATAGGTATTCTCTGTTTATAGAAGAACTGAAGGTCTTCATGGACGAACTGAAGGTCTTCATGGACGAACTGAAGGTCTTCATGGACGAACTGAAGGTCTCCTTCATAGACGAGCTGAAAGTCTTCCTCAAAGAAGAGCTGGAGGTCTTATTCATAAAAGGGCTGAAGCGATTCTTCATCATAGAAGTGTTGCAGGTCTTCTTTATAGGTGAGCTTGAGGTCTTCTTCATAGAATATATAGAAGGTCTTCTTTTTAATGGAATAGCAAGGGGTATCCTTTTTGAACAGTTGGAGGTTTACTTTAAAAAAAAGAGTTCAAGGTATTCCTTCCATTGGAGAGCTGCGGAGGTTTTCATCACAGATTAGCTTAGCTTTGTAGAGCAAGAGGGCATCTCGTAGAATTGTGGAGAACTTGTTTTAAAGAATAACTCAGAGAATCCAAAGACATTCTTATTTTCGATATTTTTGTGCCACTGTTCCTTTATTGCATTTTTCACCATCCCCATGAGTATGCCTGCTCGTCCGTCCGACTGTTTGCCTCCCATAAAATCATTGCAGTTCACTGCAGTTGCATGACCCAAAATTGAATTGATATGAATGTGCAGCAAGCAGCAGCACCAGCAGTGTTTACACTCTGAATGTTGAGAGTGCAGCACTTATCGTTTTATTTATTTTCTTTGTCGTTGTTGTCGACGAGTGAGCGAACTCTTCTCTGTGTGCCCCAGTATTATAGTCTTCGCAGCTCTTCACTTTTAGTTGTTACACTTGCACTATGGCTTGGGTGTTTAATCTCTTTAGCTCTTTTTTTCTTTTGTAAAACAAAATCAATATATGTGCTCGAGACACTTGTTGATTGCAGTTGAGCGCTGCATAATGCCGGGACTGCGCTATCTCCTTTAGTGTGAATAACTATTAAATTAAATAAATATGAAGAAACAAAGTATTTTTTGTTTGGATTGCCTGCCTGTCAATGGGCGGGAAGATATATTTCAAAGACAAATATGTGTGATAATAATATTGTTGTTGTAATTGTTTTTGTTAAATGATGTAATATTTATTTTTAATAGTTTAATTTGTTTTTAATTTTCTTTTCTTTGGAGGGGAACTTTAAGATAAGAAAAATTATGAGAACGGGTTATGGGAAGTTCATCTTTGGAGGTTAGAAATTTGATTAAAAAAGACAGATGCTTCCATATTTTTTGCCGCTTCCAGATAACTTTGAGAATTTTCTGCAGCATAAAGATAACTATGATAAAATTCAAAGTATTTTAAATGCTAATTTGGAATCTCAACATTTTCTGGCACACGAAAATATAGGTCTAACATAAGATAATAATTTATTAGGGTTAGTTAAAAAACCCTAAAATTTTCCTGAAAAGAAGGTTCGAATATAAAATGGTCAATACATACAATCCAACAATATTGTCACTGCACAGAGCAAAAATGGATATTCAATATATCCTAGATCCGTATGCGTGCTGTAGTTATATCATTAACTACATTAACAAATCAAATCGTGGTGTATCCAGAATACTTCGAAATGCTGTCGACGAGATAATTATTCTATAAAGCAAAAGTTACAGCACATTGCTCATAAGTTTATCTCGGGTACTGAGGAACGAGTATTTATTTTGATACCTCGAGAACAGTTACTGAACTTACCTCCCGATTACTCTGATATTTATACTGTCGGCATTTTGAAACACTATATTCAAAGACCTGATGAACTAGAAGATTTATGTTTGGTCGAATTCGCAGAAAATTATAAATATTCCAGAACCCACAGAAACATTGGCAGTACAGGGGACAACGAAGAGCATGAGGATTACGAAGAAATTTTTGAGCATACTTTACGCATTTTCCAATTGAAGGATAATATTGGATTCATCCAAGAAAAAGTTAAACCTCATGTTATTCGTTACAGACGATATAACGTTAACACTCACAGAAGTGATGAACTAGAAGATTTATGTTTGGTCGACTTCGCAGCCAATTATAAATATTCCAGAACCTGCAGAAACAATGCCATTGCAGGGGACTATGAAGAGCATGAGGATCACGAAGAAAATTCTTAGCAAACTTAACGCTTTTTCCACTTGAAGGATAATAGTGGATTCATCCACGAAAAAGTTAAACCTCATGTTATCGTTACAGACGATATAACGTTAACACTCACATAAGTGACTATTTTAGAGAGCTTATGATGCTGTTCCATCCTTGGAGAAATGAGGATGTTGACTTACTTCAAAATGATAATGAAGCTTCCTGTAATGCTTTAAAAGAACGTATTGAGTTGAACAGAAAAAATACGATGTATTTGAGAACCGAGAACTCGAGAATGTTCCTCAGCGTTTAAGAGATGAAGATAGAATAGAAGTCTTTACCGAGGAAGAAGAAATAGGAAATATTGATGATGAATTCAGAGTTCTTTGGGTGCCAGACATAGATCCGAATGTAAATATATTACTTACGTAGGGTGATGGCATATCAAATGAAAATTCTGAAGCGTCTGTCCGCATAATTAAACTTCTTCCTTTAATATCTGATTCCGATCGACTGAATATGGTTCGTACCTTGAATACAAAACAGAAGTTGTACTTAACACATATTTTCCATAATATAAAATGTGTAACAACATTTTATGAATTTGTAGGTGGTAGTACAGGTGTTGGGAAAAGTAGATTAATATCGGCTATTTATCTAACAGTTAATAAAAGGCTCAATAGTACCCCAGGTTCCGATCTGACTTTAATAAAAGTGCTTTTGACAGCTCCAACAGGTAAAGCTGACTTTGCATTCAATCTTTTCCCTTCCCGTTAATCAATCAAATTCAGAACTGAGGCCGTTAGGTCCTAATTAATTTATCCTTCCAATTTTCTTTTTCCCGCTCAAATTGACAAACAGCAAGAAAATACTTTCCCATTTAACTTTCTGGCCATTATATTCAATATTTCTGTGTAATTGATGTTTGACACTTTTTTCTTTCAAAATTTTGTATTTATTTAAGCGGCATTTTCGTTTCGTTTAAGAAAAATGTCTCCTTCTCAATTGGCGCTCGCTGTCGAGTTTAATTTATGACAATTTTTATGACTACTTTATTTCATTATTATTTATTAATCATTGTCTTTATGTCTTCCTTTCTCTTTGTAGATTTTTTTCTTTCAAGCAACGGCAAGCTAAACGAAACCAACGCGACCAACAACATCTCAGCCAACAATCATTCACCCAGCTTACATTCACTTAAGGAAAAAAATTGAAACTCGCAAATAAATAAATTGAATTGAAAAAAAAGAATTCCCCAATAACCAACGACTTTCATTAGAATTGAAAGCAGAAGAAAAAAAAATAAATTCAAGACTGTATCTCCTACCAAACTGAAATCAATTAAAAATGTCTCGTCAATTGTTATTCATATTGCTGAAATTTTGCAATATTCAAACGACATAAGTGAAATTCTGAAAGAAATCGTAACAAAGTAACAACCGACAAAAAGTGTCAATTCATCACTTTTTGTTTTCGTTTCGATACTAACAAGATCGATTGATCGATCTTTCTTAATTTTTCAAAATTATTTTCAGTTCTTCAATCTAAAATTTAACCAAAAAAGTCTGTCATAAATGTCAATTAACTGAGAAATATAACGAAAGATATCGAAAAGTTGAAAAAGCAATTAAAGAAATCATCAAAGAAAACTTTCGCATAAATTGAAATTAAGGGAAAAAACTACGAAATTGAACCCGGCTTCACAATGGATATGAGCATGGAACGTGATAGCTCCGCTTTGGGGAGTCTATTCCAGCAGATAATTAATGATATGAAGGTAAGTTTTTAACGAATCGTTTAGAAAAATTAAATATAGAAACGTAGAAAATATTGAATTATTGCCATTTAATGATAACTCATTACTTTATGTATTATTTTGTGATGCAAAAGTGCTTACGCATCTGCTGCAAACACTTACACAATGTATTATTTTAATTCTAAACCATGGAATCCTTCAGATAGGTACATAGGACATCAAAATATGATATTCCACGACGTTTCACATGACCTTACCTTATTGATTACCATGTAAGGACAACTTATTACCTATAGGGGTACTTCAAAATAATCCCAGTGGCTTTGTTCCAGTGTTTACTGAATACTTCACTGTTATATTTTCCACAGCAGATCATAAGATTTAAGCATTTTTCTATAGAAGAAATCTGTGACTCTGAGGTCTCAGATTTTTTCTATACAGAAATACTAAGAACCAGAGGTCTCCGATTTTTTCTATAAAAAGAACAATGACCAAATGACCCTATAAAATATAACAATTGTGACCAAGAGGTCTCAGATTTTTGTCTATAGAAAAAGCACAGTGGCCCCGGTGTCCAAAATTTATTAAGGGAAACCTTATTCAGCCAGGCTGAGTTGAAGATTTCCTATAGAAAACCTTATTCAGATTTCCTATTGGAACCCTTATCCAGCCAAGCTGAATTCAAGATTTCCTATGGGAAACCTTATTCAGCCAAGTTAAATAAAAGATTTTCTCTGTGAAACCCTATTCAGCCTGGTTGAATTGAAAATATCCTATGGGAAACCCTATTTAGCCAGACTGAATTGAAGATTTCCTATAGGAAACCCTATTCAGCCATGCTGAATTGAAGATTTCCTCTAGAAAACCCTATCCAGCCAGGCTGAATTGATGATTTCCTATGGGAAACCTTATTCAGCCAGGCTGAATTGAAGATTTCATATGGGAAACCTTATTCAGCCAGGCTGAATTGAAGATTTCATATGGGAAACCTTATTCAGCCAGGCTGAATTGAAGATTTCCTATGGGAAACCTTATTCAGCCAGGCTGAATTGAAGATTTCCTATGGGAAACCTTATTCAGCCAGGCTGAATTGAAGATTTCCTATGGGAAACCTTATTCAGCCAGGCTGAATTGAAGATTTCCTATGGGAAACCTTATTCAGCCAGGCTGAATTGAAGATTTCCTATGGGAAACCTTATTCAGCCAGGCTGAATTGAAGATTTCCTATGGGAAACCTTATTCAGCCAGGCTGAATTGAAGATTTCCTATGGGAAACCTTATTCAGCCAGGCTGAATTGAAGATTTCCTAAGGGAAACCTTATTCAGCCTGGTTGAATTGAAGATTTCCTAAGGGAAACCTTATTCAGCCAGGCTGAATTAAATAATTCGTATGGGAACCTTATTTAGCTTGGTTGAATTGAAGATGTCCTGTGGGAAAACTTATTCAGCCAGGCTGAATTGAAGATGTCCTATGGGCAACCTTATTCAGCCAGGCTGAATTGAAGATTTCCTAAAGGAAACCTTATTCAGCTTGGTTGAAATGAAGTTTTCCTAAGGGAAAACTTATTCAGCCATGCTGAATTGAAGATTTCCTAAGGGAAACCTTATTCAGCCAGGCTGAATTGAAGATTTCCTAAGGGAAACCTTATTCAGCCAGGGGTAATAGAAGATTTCGTATCGGAAATCATATTCAGTTAGGCGGAATGGAAGATTTCGTATCGGAAATCATATTCAGCTAGGCTGAATTGCAGATTTCCTATAGAAAATCGTATTCATCCAGTCTGAATTGAAGATTTCTTATAGAATATCATATTCAGCCATAGTTTAACCACAAAAAATTAACATTTTTATTATCATATTACAATGTACTTGACATACTCCAAAGAGTTCTTGGTTTCAGATTTTTGAAGTACAGACATTTTGCTGTTGTTGTTATAATACAAACTGTAGTTCCTATTCTTAGTTTTGTTTTGGAACTGCTGTTGTTTGGGAATTTTTGTGGTAACAGATTCTGTATAATTTTCAAGAATGAAATCGGATACTTTTTGTCATCTAAATTGAGCAAAGCAAAAAACGGTTGCAGCAAATACCTAAGGTGGCTGGCCGGACGACCGAATGCCTCATCTGTCGAATGACAAGATTGAAATATTTCAGAAGGGTACACACCAAGATTTAAAATAATATTGGAGACAACTTGTAAACAACATTTTAAAATGTTAAATTATTCTCCTCTTCTTTGGTATGTGGAGAACAGGTGTTTAGGTATGCCCACCTCGTGACGGAGGTTTCAAATAAAAAGTATATCTCTTAATTTGTCTTCTTCTTCGTTTTTTTTTTTCGTTTTTTTTGTAATCCAAGTCAAGTATGAAATTATTGTTTTTATTTTTTCCATAAACTACTTTTGAATGAAGAAAGAAATCTATGCCGGTGATAGGGAGGAATAACCGCCGTTGGAGGAAATCCAGTTAAAAATCTCAAATTACAAACCCCCACTTCGAGCCGTCATATATCCCACCCGATTCGGGTGGAGTGGGGTTTTATTTTAAATATCACTGCTTCAGATTAGTTTTCTTCATTCAAAAATCTTTTGTTTTTGTTCGCTCTGCTGTGTGTTGGTTGCCTGCCATTCATCCATCTGTTTATCTCTTCTCTTTCTTTATGATTTTATTTACTAAGATTTCAATCCAATTTTTTGTTTTTGTTTGGATTCTCCAACTAACTGCCACTTACTTTGAAGTGCGGGTGGTGTGGCTGCCGGCAATATAGGTTTCGGTTCGTTTCTTCGCCGCACCAGCAGCGTTGGTGGCTAGGCTCCGATGATTGACGTTGACGACCGTCGTATCGTCGTAGATAAATGTCATTGACTTTTATTTGGAATTGGAATTGTCAGTAATTGAATCGAATTGAATGGTGTAACTGACAGCAGCAGATCAGATCGTTTGTTTATTTGTTTGCACAATGTACATTTCGTATGTGAGTGTGTGTGTGTGGGTTATTATTTGATATCTCACAATGATTTGCCTTGGGGGACAATTAAATAATAAAATAAATAAAACCTCCTAATGTTTAAAACATGACTTGCAATTAGTTTTGGGCATTAGGAGTAAATATTTTGTTCCGCATAGAAAAAATATTGAATTTTCTATAAGAAATTTTCAATTCAGCCTGAATAAATAAGGTTATCTATAGAAAATCTTCAATTCAGCATGGCTGAATTAGGTTTCCCATAGTAAATCTTCTATTCAGCTTGGCTGAATAACATTTTCCATAGGAAATCATCAATTCAGCCTGGTTGAATAAGGTTTCCAATAGGAAATCTTCAATTCAGCCTGGCTGAATAAGGTTTCCAATAGAAAATCTTCAATTCATCCTGGCTGAATAAGGTTTCCCATAGGAAATCTTCAATTCAGCCTGGCTGAATAAGGTTTCCAATAGGAAATCTTCAATTCAGCCTGGCTGGATAAGGTTTCCAATAAGAAATCTTCAATACAGCCTGGCTGAATAAGGTTTCCAATAGGAAATCTTCAATTCAGCCTGGCTGAATAAGGTTTTCTATAGGAAATCTTCAATTCAGCCTGGCTGAATAAGGTTTTCTATAGGAAATCTTCAATTCAGCTTGGCTTGATAAGGTTTTCTGTAGAATATCTTCAATTCAGCCTAGCTGAATAAGGTTTTCTATACGAAATCTTCAATTCAGCCTGGCTGAATAAGGTTTCCCATACGAAATTTCCAATTCAATACAGGAAATCTTTAATTCAGCCTGGCAGAATATGGTTTCCATAGGAAATCTTCAATTCAGCCTGGCTGAATAAGGTTTCACATAAGAAATCTTCAATTTAGCCTGGCGGAAAATGGTTTTCTATGGGAAATCTTCAATTCAGCATGGGTGAATAGTAAATCTTCAATTCAGCCTTGCTGAATAAGGTTTTCCATAGGAAATCTTCAATTTAGACTGGCTGAATAAGGTTTCCCATAGAAAATCTTCAAATCAGCTTAGCTGAATATGATTTTCTATAGAAAATCTGCACTTCAGCCTGGCTGAATAAGGTTTAATATAGAAAAAAAGCCTGCAAATAAAAATCTCTTCTATAAAAACATTGCATCTGTTTATCATATCACCTGTAATTGTTCAGCCCTCGCACCACACATTCGATGACCATGTGTGTGTGTGCGCTCGTTGTAATAACATAACACAGTTTTGACAAGGTCAACGGGTAAAATGACACTCACGTTTATTTTTTTAATTCAATTTTCAAAGCCATATTTGTTCATAATCTTAAGTACTGATGGTGGTGGTGGCTGTCATGCAACTTACCAGCTAACGAGCCGGCAAGCTGGGTTTTGTAAGTGGTTACAAACAAAATAAATAAACAAACAAATAAATTTGTCCGATTGCATGCTGCCAACAATAACAACAACAAAATAGCCATTGATTTATTATTATCCAAATTGCTGGAGAGAGAGAGAAAAATTAAATCTCCAAACCGCGCTACAAAGTTGAGGATTTTTATGGGATTTGAATTCATGGAATTGTCCGGTTTTTTTTTGCTTTTATCCTTGTTGGCTTGCCACAGCACAACAGCTACGGGTGGCGACATTTTGCGGCTGTTTTGCTGAGCTTAGCAGCAAATTACTGGTGCAAACATCCCAGTGTGACCAATTCATTACTCTGATTTAAATTGATTGCTACTCAGATGTGTTATCAAGATGGGTCGGGGGAATTTTTTTTGGTTAATGATATTCAAGTAAGGATGGTAAAATAAAAGTTTTCAAATGGGAAACATTAATTTAGCCAAGCAAAATTGAAAATTTTTTATTGGGAACCTTTATCAGATGGGTTAAATTGAAGATTTCGTATAGAAAACCTTATTAAGCCAGGCTGAATTGAAGATTTCCTGTAGAAAACCTTATTCAGCCAGGCTGAATTTAAGATTTCCTATTGGAAACCTTATTTAGCCAGGCGGAATTAAAGATTTCCAGAAGAAAACCTTATTCAGCCAGGCTGAATTGAAGATTCCCTA